AGGTTGCTTTGTAGTTCATCTTCTGAAGCAGGTTATCATGTTATTGAATTTTACCCACAGGGGAGTATTTACTACAATTAGTTCATCTTCCGAAGAAGAAGTCGGTTCCCTTTTGTCATGTTTTGAGAATTGTTGCTTTGTGTTTCAGGAGTTTTGTCCAGGGTTTTATCTCTGCAAATGATAGAGGTTTAGCCACACAGTGGTGGCTGTGTTTGTTTTGGTTTTGCAGGATTAGTGGTATATTCGGTGGAGGCTTTACGGGCTTTTGTGCTGAACTAAGGCCAGATTTACAAGGGTTTGCTGCTCTGCTTCAATTTTCAGCATGGTTAGTTCATGATTTTGATCCTTTTAAGGGAAAGAATTCATGATATTGGCCATGACGTTCAGGTATTATAAGGCAGCCCATATCGTCATCGTGGCAGGAAAGCCCTATTTTATTAGACCTGCAAAGGTCTTTTCATTTTTCATTTGTGAATTGACCTGCAAAGGTCATGTATATTGTTATATACTTCGTATCTGCTGTTCCCCTTTGGGGATATCTATGGCAAAAAAAAAAAATTGAAAAGAGCAAAGTAAGTTTTGAGGTTCAGTGCTTCACTTTTCAGTTGGGCCTAAATTACTACATCATGAGGCCCCGCCTTTAATGTCCAACAGAGCAAGTTCTTCAGAAAAGCCAGAAGCCCACTTGTATATAATAACAATCGAAGCGTAATAATATAAAATCCAGTGATGGTTTGCATGAGTCATTTTGGTAGCGGAAAAACAAAGTCATTTGCATATGACTAGCGTGAGGTGAGGTATGAAATTTGATAATGTAATGGGGTGTATAGCTTATTGTTGTATAGTTTTTTTTGGAAACACGTGATAAAAATAATGAATTTTAGCAGGAAAGAGACATGAATGATGCAACGAATCAAAAATCGGCCTTATGAACCAAAATCAAGTATCTGTTATCTTGTGAAACAATATTGTTTCTGATAATATGATGAGGTGGAGTAAGTTTTATAGAAACCGGAATCCAGAAAATCGAATAAAAAATCGCCTATCTCGTAGGTTTTCGGAAAATTAGCATCTCACAATCGTTGCTAGCTTTTACTCGACCCGTTGGCCGATTAATTTGCTTTATAAAACTTTCATCTTGTCGTCATTGTGCTTTCTGGTTTTTGTCAGGCCATGATAAAATCTAAGAAAATAAAAAACGAACAACACGATTTGGGATAGGAACCACCGTTGTCGTATCCCTAGAAAATGGTGGTAAACACGGACTCACCTGCCAAACTGGTTTGGATTGAGATTTTTATCGAGTATCAGGGAACCACGTGATTATAAATTAGACTTGATCAAAACGGGCCAAAACTTGAAATTAAGCCTGTTTGACCGACCCATGCAAAATTCTAATTATTCTTAACTTTTAAACTTTCTATTTGAAAATAAAAAATAGTGAAAGAAAAGAGATTACTGCAATTCGTCATTTGCACATCACTTATTCTGGAATAAAACCATAGAAATTCAAAAGGAACCGAAAATGTTTAGGATCGTTTTAATGTTTAAAATAACCAAATAGATCTTTCTGTTTAGTTTTTTATTAACAAATACCAAACGATTCCCTGTAAAATACACTATAATTTGATCATTATGATATCAAATAATTATATAATATATTTGAAATGATAAAAAATGGAATAATTGGGTTTGTCGAGGTTGAACCATTGAATAACATTAAAATACATTATATTTTAGCCAATGATGTTCATTTGTTTTACTTGACGGTCAAATCCCGTGTAGATCAGGCCCATTCAACTCTTTTATTTTATGGTTAGCGGTTAGCCCATTAGATACCATGCATTAGTTTATTGTTAAATTTTATATTTTTAGCAACAAAAAGAAGTATTGTTTTTACCTTTTCATATATATTTTTATCACCACGGAAAAATAAAAGGGCTTAAAGAAAAAATTGACACTCCTGGACCCGTTTAAATCCGCATGTGTACGGTAAGTTGGCCCGTTCCACAGAAGAAAGAGAAAAAAATTGACACTTCATATTCTACCCTTCCTACAAACGCTTTTTAGAATGACAAACCAATGATGTTCATTTGTTTTACTTGATGGCCAAATCCCGTGTAGGTCAGACCCATTCAACTCTTTTATTTTATGGTTAGCAGTTAGCCCATTAGATACCATGCATTAGTTTATTGTAAAATTTTTTATTTTTAGCAATAAAAAGGAGTATTGTTTTTGCCTTTTCATATATATTTTATCACCATGGAGAAATAAAAGAGTTTACAGAGAAAAATTGACACTCCTGGACCCGTTTAAATCCGCATGTGTACAGTAAGTTGGCCCGTTCCACTGAGAAAAAAGAAAAAAGAAAAAATTTTGACATTCCCTATTCTACCCTTCCTACAAACGCTCCTGGAGCAGGGAATTTGAAATGAGGGAAGAGTTTTTTCCTCCTTGCTATTATATATTTTTAATTTAAAAAGATACAACAAATGTCCTTAGTGTGATTGGTTATGATTGTTGTTTTTCTTTAAAATGGTCATGGTTCGAATCCCATTACGTGTCTTTTTAATGAATAAAAAAAAAGTTATTGTGAAGACCAAAATGTCCTTCCTACTTTCACTCTCGTTACAGGAAATTTGAAATGGGGCTCCGGTTTTTCCCTTCGATGTATTATAGTATGTGTAGATTCGTTTTTTCTCTGCTACTTTCAATTATAATGATCTTTTCATAATATCAATACTAATTGTACATTTATATTGTCTTGATAAACCCAATATATTTCAATTAATTCCAATAATAATACTTTTCAATTATTTTTCAATACCGCCACTTGATATCGTATCTCTTCCCTCGCCATGGAAAGGTTTCAAGTTTCGAAGTGGGGAAAGTAGTTTTCATCAATGGACTGGGACGTAAATGTATAGTTTTTAGGGTTAATACCCTAGTTTGGCCCCAAGTTTAGCATAAGTGTCAGTTCTGGCCCCATTTTTCAAATAAGACATTTGTGGTCTACTTTTGAAATTATTGGACAAATTTGGCCCGCATTTTGAATTGACCGTCAAAATTGACGGTCAACCATTTTCTCCGTAAGTGACTCAACATAAACTGCTGACTAGGATGTCCACATCATTTAAAACTAAAAAAAAAAAAAAGGCCAAACGAAACCCTTTCCTCATCTTCTTCCTCTTCTAACTTCCACCTCCACCCATTGTGAAATCCTTCCTCCAATTTCCTTCCCCCAAATTTCTTTCCCCATCCTATACGTCAAGCAGTCCCTTTCTAAACCCAAATCAGAAATTTGATATAATTAAAAACAATAGTTACGCCCGAAAACAGTTTGGACTTTGGACAAATGGGGAGCGAGCCACTCTCGGATCCAAACAAGAAGTATGCGTAAGCTTTTGTCTCTCAATCCCTAGCTGCCTCTCGCCGTCGCCATCCCTGGCTGACTTCCTTCTATCAATGGCGACCCTCGTCGTCAGAGTCAAGCCACCACATCTTTTCCCTCTTTTACTCTACTCCAGATCTGGGTCGGGGATCTGAATTAGTTTTGAAAACCGAAGAACCCAAACCCAAAATTTCAGTTCTGGGAAATTGTTTGGAGAGACGACCATTGACAGCTGCTTCTTCCAAGGAGAGACGACCATTGGCATACTCCTCTCGCCGGACACACGCGCGTCGCTTTGCCGCACCGCCAACGCCACCAACGCTCCTCGTCGCCTTCGCTTCCGTGGAAGAGTCTCCATCACGAGTTCGACGAGGAGAGGGATATGGGCAATCAAAGGGCAGCAGCTTCTGATCTTGTGGACGGGATCTCAATGGAGCACCAGCAAAACCGGACGGACAAGAAAAATGGTCGGGGAGATGGAGCGGAGGTAGCCGAAGATGAGAATGGTGGCGAGGATGGGGTTGTGATGATGAAGATGTTTGGGATTCCTATTCGGTGGGGAGGGGAGGGACTCAGGGGATTGGAAAGTGTATTTTGGTTTTTTGTTTTGTGTTATTTTATATTTTTTGTTTTTAACTTTTTAATCTAAATAAATGGTGTGGCAGCCACCTCGGATCCACCTCTGTATTTTGATGCTGAGTCATCGACGAAAAAATAGTTGACCGTCTATTTTGACGGTCAATTCAAATCGTAGGTCAAATTTGTCTAATAATTTCAAAAGTGGGTCATAAATGTCTTATTTGAAAAATGGGGCCAGAACTGTCACTAACGCTAAACTTCGGGCCAAACTAGGGTATTAACCCTAGTTTTTATTGCTAATATATGACTTAAATATGATGAACTGTCGTTAACTGGAAGTCACGAAAATCTCATTTCCAGTCAGCGAATCGGGGTCCAGAGGCATGAGAGAAAGAGAGAGAAAGATCATAGTATATCAGAGATTTTAGGCAGAGGATTCAATTCAAGGTGGAGGTTGTTGATATGACTTGAATCGGATGATCTGCTGTCAACTGAAAGTCACAGGGATCTGGTTCAATCTGTAACCTTATTCTTTATCAGATTGGATTAGGGTTATGTTATAATTGGAGAAGTATTATATATACTTCTCATACTCCTCTGTAATTTGTAATCACCTCAATTAGTATAGTGAAACTAGCTCTCTCCCATTCATGAACTAGCTAACACACGTTGTGTTAGTAAACCACGTAAAACCCTATATTTTTTACTTTCTTACTGATTGTTGTCTTTCTTGTTATTGATGAATTCCCAATCCGAGCGAATGACAGTTATGATATGCAAATCTACCCTTATTTAAACGCACCGAACCATTTTCCAGCCCTAACTAACGCAACTAATGGAGATTTCCCCCCAAGATTATTGTGAATGTGTTGTCGTAGAAGAAGATAGCAAACCCAAATATATAAGAGTCCAATTTTAAAAGGCCGAAGCCATCGGGTGAGACAAATAATCTGGGCCCAAAGCGAAGTTCGAGGCTGGAAATACATTCCAGCCACTGTTGCCAATGTCAATCCAGCAACTAACTGAAGTACTGAACCGTTGGCGCTGAGTGTTTCGCTAAATCTCAACCTTCTTGCGCTCCGCGCCGCCGACCGCTACACAGTTGTTTGCGTTTCAGTCCTGTTCTCTGGTTGGTTTTCCGGATTCGATGTCAAGTTCGCATCTTTCATTCTGGGTTCGCGGTGGAAATTGATTTGGATGATAGGATCATTCATTCCGGGGAAAGGTGGGCGAAGAGCTGGTAGTATCTATTGATGGTTGTCAGGGTCTCTCGTTGCCAATGCTTTCAATTCAACGCAATTCAGCAGCTCAGCATGGCTAGGATCATCCATCGAAACTGCTCTCTATTTCATCAGCGAAGAAAAACCGGTATGACTGCTACTCCCTCGTCTTACTTCGCCTCCAATTCAACTACTCCTGCGACCTCCAATTCTGTAACTTTCGCCAGCGTAGACGATGCCTTGGATTCATTTAGTAGGATGCTCCACATGAACCCCAGACCTTCGGTTGTGAAATTTGGTCAGTTGGTAAGTTCTCTTATGAGAATGAACGCCTTCCAGGCTGCCTTCTATGCGTCTAGACAAATGGAATTAGCTGGAGTCCCACACAATCTTTACACGCTTAGCATGTTGCTTCGTTGTTTCTGTAAATTGGGTCGATTAGATTTTGGCTGTGCAGTTTTCAGCAAAGCTCTGAAATTCGGTATTCAATTCGATGATGTGATGCTCAATACATTGATTGACGGGCTCTGTAAAGTTGGGAAAGTAATCGAGGCCGCAAGGTTGGTTCAAAACATGAAGGAGTTTGGCTGTCAACCTGATGTCGTTAGTTATAACACAGTCATTAGCAGCCTATGTAAGGATGGAATGGTATCGAAGGCTTTTGATGTTTTTTCAGAGATGAAGGATGAAAAGATTCAACCAGATGTGTTCAGTTACAATAGTTTGATTTATGGTTTGTGCATTTCAAGCGGAATCAATGAAGCTATGGAGTTGTTCAATAAAATGGTAGATAGGAAGATAATGCGTGATATATTCACCTATAACATATTGGTTGATGCTTTCTGTAAGGAAGGAAATGTTTTGGGAGCTAGAGTTATACTCAAAATGATGATTCAAGGTGGATTGCTTCCGGATATCGTCACTTACAGATCGTTGATGGATGGGTATTGTTTGCGCAATGAATTAGATAAAGCTAGAAAGGTATTTGATTTGATTATCAATAGGCGATGCAAACCTACCGCTTACTGTTACAATATCATGATTCATGGATATTGTAAAAATTAAATGATGGCTGAAGCAGAACAGTTATTGAATAGTATGCTTGAGAAGGATTTGGTTCCGGATACAATCACATATAATACTATGATAAATGGATTTTGTCAAGCAGGAAGGCTCAAAGACAGCACAACAAATTCTCAAGAAAATGAGTGGTCCAGGTTGCTTACCTGATATTGTGACATACAATAGTTTGCTTGATGGCTTGTGCCGACGAGGTAAAATTGACGACGCATTAGCTTTGTTTCAAGTAATAGAAAGTAGGCTGAAGTCTGATATTGTGGGGTACAATATACTTTTGGATGGATTGTGGAAAGCAGGGAGGGGAGATGAGGCAAGGGAAATGTTTTCTAAGCTCTCTAAGGACAATTGTTTGCAACTTGATGCCCGCACATATAGCATAGCAATTAATGGACTTTGCAGGCAAGGCTTTGTAGATGAAGCATATGAACTGTTCAGAAAAATGGAGGGGGATGGTTGTCTACCAAATAGTGGCTGTTATAACGTGATTATTCATGGATTTCTTCGACATAAGGATCCTCTTGAAGCAATCGACCTCATTCACAAGATGGTTTCGAAAGGCTTCTCAGCCGACGCAACCACGATGATGTTGCTAATAGAATTGTTGCCCAAGAATCAGTTGGATCATCCAATTTTCCAGAAGCTGATGAGTGGTCCTGATATCAGGAGTCATAACATTGGGTCTGGCGGTCTATCAGCTGCTGCAACTCAAGGAACTTGCTGAAATTCTCATCCAAACACCAGTTGGATGGTCCAGTAGTTGATCAAAATCTCCGTGCCAAGAACATTCTGATGATAGAAGGTTATACGAACTAGAGGTCCGAGTCATGATCCCACTTATATGTGTTTCCATACTTGCTGATATATCAGAAAGAACCGATCAATGTTAGCATGGGAATAGATGATAATCCATGTTTGATGCATTAGTGTGTTTTAAGCTAGTTGTGAATTTTCATTATTGTTTAGAGATATGAATGAACGTAGCTCGCTTGTTTAGTAGCATAACTGCATATTTCCCCAAATCCCTTGATTGGAACTCTGCCTTCTCCGACGTGTTGAACCCCAGCTGCTGGACCGGCGATTCGTACACCATCGTATTCCCTCCTAAACACTTTGAATCCGCTGTCTCCGAGTGACTTTATTTTCGATCACTCATTAAATCTCACTTATTGTTTAATAATTAATCTATTTATGAATTAAGCATTGGTAGGGCGTAGGAGTGGGAATGGCAATGACTAGGTCGAGCATGTATCTCGATACTCATATATGTTTCATGACAAGTCGAGTCCGGATCGAGTATTTTGTTTTGGGGCGTGAGTCGGGCAGGTCAACTCATATGTGTATGTATTAAAGGAAAACACTTGAAACATTGATTTTTAATGAAAATTTGAGAAGCAAACTATGATAAATATAGTTAAATTATTTGAGAAATTTATATTAATATCTATTTACAATTTTTTATAGGTAAAAGTATGTAGTAAAATTAAAATTTTAAGTGAGTTCAGTAAATTCACATATAATTTAGGAATAATATCAATATAAATATCAACCTTTAGCAAAATTGTCATTTATATTGTGTATTTTTCGATATATGACAATTGTGTGTTGAAGTTCCTTACTGTTAAATATTAACTACTTACAATACAAAAGGGTATGACTTAAATTCCAAACTTTACTAGCTTTCATCAAAAGTCATACTCTTTTTCCATTACAAATTTGACAATTTTCCATATAGATTGATAGGACTTACATAACAATAATAATTTACATTACAAACTCCTAACACTGCAAATGAATAAGACTTAGATTACAAACCATAGTCTTTTAATTTGTCATTACAAATTAATGACTAATTACAGTACAAATAAATAAGACGTACATTACCGAGCATAATAATTTTATATTAAAAAACAATAACGAACATACGCTGTAAATCATAATCTTTTGCCATTACAAATTGTGACTATTCGATGGAAAAGACCACAGTGAAATGGTGTTTGTAGGACCTCTTAAGTCTTATCGAAGGTACAAACGGATACGAGTTACATTACAAACCAGATTGTTCTCTCTGTAAAACTTGTCCTCTCTCTAAACAGCTTTCGATATATGAAACTTCTTCTCCGTATCTCTAAACTCCTCATCTCTCTATGAAACTTCATCTTCTCCTCCCTTTGTCGTTTTGTTTTTTGTTGTTTGGTACCCAAACTTTTGAGTACAATTTACGTGTTAGCTATTAGTAGGGAAAGAGTTCAAGCTTGGCAGTCAAGCTTAGGAGTTTTTAGAGTTAATAAATTTCTTAGAGATAGTAGCTTGAAAACATGAAAATGGTGGGTTTGGGTTGTAGGTAAGCTGAGTGAAGAGTTTGATCTTGTATTTAAACTCATGTCATAATCAATAAAAGCTTGTTATTTTTCTATAATATTGCTCACCTTGCGGTATCAGAGCACTGGCATATTGTTGTACCAAGTTTAGTCTGTGAGTGCATATTAAAGAGTTATTGTCTTAATTTCATAGTGGGTTTGGGAAATATGAGAGTTCATATGAGATTAGTATAGTGGGATGAGAGAAAAATGAGTGATTGTGAGCCGCAGATATTAAAGTTTCGACTGATATGGAATTTTGAGCAGTGAACATAACTGAATCATCAGGTTTTATGCAAGTGTGTGTTCCTCGATTTGACGAGGATTACAATCATTGGAGCCTACTTATGGGAAACTACATAGATATAAAGAGTTATGAGGAGTGGTTAGAAAGGGCTTCAGTGAACCTACAATAGAAGTTGAAGCAAAATTGACAGAAGTGGAAAGCAAGAAGCTGGACAACTTGAGGTTGAAGGACCTAACTATTGGTTCGGTTTTTTTATAAGCGATAGAAATATAGTTATTATTAGGATTTATGTTGTAGCCGTACTTTTCCAGTTTATTTTTTATATATATGTTCTTTGGTTTTACTTCAGAATCATTCAATTAATCAAGAAAAGTATTGTGCAAGTTATTCCTTAAAACTCTAATCTCTCTTCTCTCAATTCGTCACCTACCTCTAAGGACGTAGGTAAATTCTTCATTACGATCTCTAATTTCTTCTTCTAAATTCTTAAATCCCCAATTCTATTCATCCCAGTTTCGATCTCTAATTCCTATTTAAAACCCTAAAGAACCGTAGTTCTAACGATAAGACAACCCTGAAAACTATTGGTCACAAGGCAACAAACAAGGAACATCAGGATTCGATGAGGATGAAATTTCAAGGCTGTGCAAGGGTTAAAAGCGCTCAATAGATTCGATGAGGATCCAACCTCATTTTCTGGTTTCCAGCCCACTACTAACAGACTTCCTACATTTGACTCTACACTTGAGCTAAAATTTTCAACTAACATGACTCACATAATGGCTCCATAACCAGACTCAAACACATACCAGACCCAGCATTGATTTGGGCATTTTTTGTGACTTTAATTGAAAGATCAGAACTTGAATATGACATAAGCAGCTCTCTTCTTTGTCATCTCAATATAAGGATTGCGTAAATATCAGAGAACAGAGGACGGGAGAGATTGACAGAAATGCATCGATTATGATAAGGAACATAATTTATCGTATTCATTCGAGCATACAACTGTGAACTTTGAGGGTTAGCGGCGTGGTTGTATACACCTAAGCGCGCTCAAATCAACAGATCGATTAAGGGCGTCCATGATTGGTCTTTTTCGGAGTAGCTGGAACCTTGGCAATTTGAAAGCCTACTTGCTCTCTGCTATTGGAGTCCGGTTCATGTTTATTAATGACATTTGCTGTACTCATTATTACTTGCTTTGATCACTTCACGCAAAGGTTCAGCTGCTGCAACTGTCTTTCAGATTTTAGCTGCAATATTTATCCCTTACATTATCTACCAGAGTTGCCTATCAATATAGAATGCAGGAATTGGAATGTGGAAGAAGTGGTGAAAGAAGTAGCAAAGTCTCTAACCAAGTAGGACGTTGAACGAAAAAGGAGCACTGATAAAATTGGTTTGAAGTTCAATAAACAACACACCACCCTTAAAATTGGTTTTTATTGATTCCTGAGTTCCAAATTGCAATTCATTTAAAGTAGGATTGAAAGTAGATTCATATTCAGCAAAATTAACATAGCCGCAAAGCGCTGACCATTTAACCAGTATACATAATACTTCCTAACACAAGCTTCATTTGAAGGTTGATCACTATCTCATTCAGATGAGTGAAGTCCAAAAATGGGTGACCAAAGCATTGCTTCTTCTTGACAAAAGCAGAACCCTAGAGTTCCCTTCAAGGCTTTGGCCTTTGTCGCAAATACGTAGTTATGTTGCTAGACAAGCGAGCTTCATATCTCTAAACAATAATCACAAACAGGTTCGGCACATACTAATGCATCAAACATGGACAGAAACGAGCAGGGATCGGAGCTCGTTTTGTACAGCAGACAGAATCAACAATATGTAAGTGGGATGACAAGGATCATGAATCGGACCGTTAGTTCCAGCTATCTTCTATCATCAGAATCTTCTCCAAGCCGAGAGATTTTGATCAATTACAGGATCATGCAACTGGCCTTTGGATGAGAATTTCAGCTAGTTCCTTGAGTTGCAGCAACTGATAGACCACTAGACCCTATTTTATGACTCTTGATATCAGGACCATTCAATAGCTTCTGGAATATTGGATGATCCAACTGATTCTTGGGCAACAATTCTATTAGCAAAGACATGGTGGTTGCATCGGCTGAGAAACCTTCCGAAACCATCTCATGAATGAGGTCTATTGCTTCAAGGGGATCCTTATGGCGAAGAAATCCATGAATAATCACGTTGTAAGAGCAACTATTTGGTAGACAACTATCCCCCTCCATTTTCCTGAACAAATCATATGCTTCATCCACAAAACCTTGTCTGCAAAGTCCATCAACTGTAATGGTATATGCGCGGGTATCAGGTTGCAAAAACTTGTCTCTAGAGAGCCTAGAAAACATTTCCCTAGCTTCCTTTTCCCTCCCTGCTTTCCACAACCCATCCATAAGGATATTGTACCCGGCAACATTAGACTGCAAACTACTATTGTCTATTACTTGAAATAGAGCTAATGCACCGTCAAGTTGACCTTGTCTACACAAGTAACCAAGCAAGCTATTGTATGTCACATTATCCGGGGAACAACCCTGACCACTCATTTTCTTGAGAATTTGTTGTGCATCTTTAAGCCTCCCTGCTTGACAAAATCCATTTAGCATAGTAGTATACGTGACTGTATTCGGAGCCAAATCCTTCTCCAGCATATCATTAAGTAATTCTTCAGCTTCATCCATCCTTCCATTATTACAATATCCATGAATCATTATATTATAACAGTAAACGTTAGGTTCACATCTCTTATTGACCACGAAATCAAATAACTTTCTAGCTTTGTCTAATTCATTGCGCAAACAGTACCCATCCAGCATTGAATTGTAAGTGATGACATCTGGAAGAAATCCTCTGTGAATCATCACTTTGAGTATAGCTTTAGCTCCCAAAACATTTCCTTCCTTACAAAAAGCATTAACCAATGTGGAATAGTTAACTGTATTGGGCATGATCTTCCTCTCTACCATTTCATTGAGTAACTTCATAGCTTCATTGATTGTGCTTGAAATGCATAAACCAGCAATCAAGCTATTGTAAGCAACCACATCTGGTTGAATCTTTTCATCCTTCATCTCTGAAAAAACATCAAAAGCCTTTGATACCATCCCATCCTTACATAGGCTGCTAATGACTGTGTTATAACTAACGACATCAGGTTGACAACCTAACTCCTTCATGTTTTTGAGCAATTCAAGTCCTGCACTCGTTTGCCCTAGCTTGCATAATCCATCTATAATTATGTTATAAGAAATAACATTCGGATGATAACCCAAAATCTGAATCCTATGAACCAACCTTGCAGCCTCGATTACTTTCCCAACTTTACAGAGCCCGTCAATCAATGTATTGAGCATCACATCATTGAATTGAATACCGAGTTTCAAAGATTTGCTCAAAACTGAGTAGCCAAAATCCCCTCGACCCAATTTACAGAAGCAACGAAGCAACATGCTTAGCGTGTGAAGATCATGGTGGAATCCAGCTACTTCCATTTGTTTAGACGCATACAAGGCAGCCTGGAAGGCGTTCATTCTCATAAGAGAATTTACCAACTGAGAAAATTTCACAATTGAGGGTCTAGGGTTCATGCGGAGCATCCTATTAAATGAATCCAAGGCATCATCTATGCTGGCGAAAGTTACAGAATTGGAGGCCCGAGGACTAGTTGGATTGGAGGAGAAGTAGGTCGAGAGAGGAGCTGCGGCAGAAGCTGGAGAATAAGCATAAGGGAATTCAGTAGTACCTGCTTGTCTTCTCCAATGATACCGATAGCAGATTCGATGGATGATCCTAGCCATGCCGAGCTGCTGAACTGCGTTAAATTGAAAGCCTTGGCAATGAGAGACCCGGACACTGCTGACAGTCATCAATAGATACTACCAGCCCTTCGCCCGCCTTTCCTCGGAATGAATCATTCCATTCCGTTGCCAGAACAAGCTCTATCATCCAAACCCAATTTCCACCGTGAACCCAGAATGAAAGATGAAACTTGAAATTTGAATCCAGAACCCAACACCTAAAAGACTATATCTGTGTCGTTAGCGGCCGCGAGGAGCGCATGAAAAGGTTAATTGGAGTGAAGCAATCAGCCGAGGGTTCGGTGGCGTGCTGGATTGGCAGAGTGGCTGGACTGATATTGAATTCGGGTTCCTCGGTCCTCCATGAGTGCGGATCTGGTGACTAAGGGGGTGCTTAGTCACTTGACTCAGTCCCTCCTAGCCCTTAGATCTGGACACTTCAATCCAATGGTTAAAAAGTGGGAAGAACTATTTAATTAATAACAGGGGTAGTTTGGGTATTATGGAAAATTACGAAGTATACAAACCGGATTTACAATCAGTACAAACCATACAAACATACGAACAGTACAAACTAGAGCGACAAAACATACAAACAGATTTACAAACATTACAAACGTATGAACTGTACAAACAATACAAACTAGACCGACAAACAATACAAACCATACAAAAAGAAAAAACAACCGGATTGACTTTTGAGGCTCCATCCCTATATAGAGGGGCTCCTTCCCAAAGTCAACCCGGGTGTTTTTTAGACATACAAACAGTACGAACATGGTGGACAAAAATGACAAACTAGACCGACAATCCATACGAACGGGAAAAAACACCCGGGTTGACTTTGGAGGGTCCATTCCTATATAGAGGGGCTCCTTCCCAAAGTCAACCCGGGTGTTTTTTAGACATAAAAAACATTACGAACATAGTGCACAAAAATGACAAAGTTTACAAACATGGTGCACAAAAATAACAAAGTTTACAAACATTACAAAAAAACGACAAACATTACAAAATAACAAAGCATACAAACATTACAAAATATGTCAACAAACATCACAAAATCAGCACTGTCGCCGGGAATTTTTTCTCCGACGACGGTGTTTGCCGGAAAAATTTTCCGGCCAAAAAATCTCTCTCTCTCTCTCTCTCTCTCTCTCTCTCTTACGTGGGATAATTGGATTCCCACAAAAGAAACCAAAACCAACTCTGGCCTCGCTCTCTGTGCACGCAAGGGGAAAAAGTTCCCAGGCCCAGGCGAATTGCGTCGTCGGCTGCCGGGCGGGGAAAAGAAGAGACGAGACGCCCAGGTGAATTGCGACCGACGACCGGCTGCCCGGCGGGGAAAAGAAGGGACGAGACGCACGGCGGGGAGGGAATAATCGGAGGACAAAAATATTTAATAAATAAAAATAAAAATAATCATGCAATTACTGTTTTGCCCTTCATTAAATTAGATTAATTGTAGCCATTGGATTTTAATGAGGTGCAATGGTTGAGATTTACTTAGTCATGTGACTAAGGGACCCCCCCTTAGTCACCTGATCTTAGCCCGTCCTCCATGGCATCACAACGGCACACACAAGTACACAACCAATTAACAAGGGTAAATTGCACGTTTGGTCACTGAAATTTGGGGTTAATATCTTATTTTGACCCGAACTATGATCATATAATCAACTTAGTTCCGTGGTTTCAGAAATTAACATCCTGACTTCAACTATGCAGCATATAGACTCAATTAGGATGACACATGGTTTGACCGTCAATTTGGACGGTCAACAAGCCATGTAATTGCCTCGTCAGCCTAACACTTTATTCTCGTCCTACTTCGACGCTCCAAACTAGAACCACGTTGAATCCCTAATCTCTCATAGTCTAACACATGCACTACCCTGCCACCGGTGCCTTTACAAAAACCCATCAATTACGCGAACTGCAGGAGGTGGCAACTTCAAATCGAAAGAAAGCAACCAGAACTGACCATTCATCTTCTATTCGCCTTCTTCCTCTGCTCGCTACCAACAAAACAAAAACCATTTCCTCATACTCGATTGCAGGGCGGAGCTACATAGAGTGTAGGGTGGGCCCCGGCCCACCCGGGATTAGTCTCGGCCCCTAGAACTCTAAGGATATTCAAATAAAACCTGGATACGTACAACTCGGCTGTATATTGTGTCATGTAATAGTGATGTAGTCTATTGGTAGATAAGTTTGATTTTTATTGAGAGGCACAGAGGTTCGATCCACAACTACCTCACATTTTGCTTTAGCCGCTCCTTTTTTATTCTTTTATTACTTTAATCCAACTTCATATGAAAAAGTCAACCTCTATTTAATTTTTACTTGGTGATTTTTCTAATTAAAATTCATTCTCCTTTATAGAAACTATATGATCCAGAGATTAACATTAATCCAACTTCATATGAAAAAGTCAACCTCTATTTAATTTTCACTTGGTGATTTTCTAATTAAAATTCTAATCATTCTCCTTTATAGAACTATATGATCCAGGGGTTAACATAGATATGATTGTCAAAGAAATTAAAATGATGAGTTTCTTGTTAATGATTAAGTTATTTATATTAAATGAAAGATAGCTAAAATTTTTAGTTTAGATGCTATTTTGGACAATTATCTCAAAGAATGTTGTGTACTTTTAAAATAATTATTTTAGTTTTATTTATACTTAATTATTTTCGGTCCACCCGGTCTCGAAATCCTGGCTCCGCCCCTGCTCGATCGACCAATTTTTTCTTTATCATCGACCTCTAAACCTACCCCAAACTACGCTCGTTGATAAGTGTCATACGTATGCATGCATTGGATTGTCATATGATTTTAGTGTGTGTTATGTGATGAAAATGATAGGGATTTGGTTCGAATTAAGCATGGAATGACCTTGTGTCATTACCAAGTGTGTGGTGTGTTTGTACACTTTTGCAAAGTTCAACAAGAATTTGCATAGGCATTGACAAGTTACAATTTGAACCTCACTCCAGCCGAACGGGCCGATTCACCAACCCATATTCGTTGATATAGACAGAGGCAACAACAGCTTATGGGCCAGCGGCCCATTCCCTCTTCATTTCCACCTTGGACAAGGAATGGCGGAATTATTTGGTCCAGTTCTCTTTGCCCTTTGGAAAGGAATTTAATTGGACAAGGGATGTGATTATTTTGGACCGGATTTTAGGGATAAAAGAAGGAATTAAAGGGAGGAGTGGGGAGGAATTAATTGGAGGATCGCGGAGCGAGAAGCAGTAGCAGACTAGCAGCGCATAGGAAACAAGCGAACAAAACAAGCCCTCGATCGTTCGCCGGCTGTAATTTTTAGGAGATCATCTCAAGTTCAGGGTTAGAGAAACGGATTTCTTTATTCATAATTATTTTTTCTATTTTTTTAATTCTAAGATGTTGAAACAATAATTATTTGTTAGTTTGTTGTCTATTACAATGAACTAAACCCTCATTTTTGGGAAGACAGTATGATATAGCTGTCAGGTTTCTATGATTTAATTGGGATTATTTGTCCTTCTTATTCATATTGTGTGTGGATTCTTAATGCTTTGTGTCAATTGGTCACCTACATTTTGATTTGTTGTTCTAGGTTGAGACCGAGAGGTGATATCTAGAATAAAACACACTTAGATACGTCACAACACCCAATTGAGCACGAGAGTGCAAAGCGGGAGTTGTGTGATCATTAGATGAGTTATCGGACTTCAGGTTAGGTAGTTAATTAATTGGTTGTACGAGAGTAAACGATTAATTGGCTAGCTAGTACGTAGTAATTCTTCAGAGAGATAACTATCACCTTAGAGATAACTTCGGTCATTTGAATGAGAATTAAAATGATTAATTAACGAATTAAATCGGGTAATTAGGAAGTGAATTCCAGGTCGTCTTTTCCCGGAGCTTCTCTCCATTGAGTTTTCTCCAAGTTAATTTCTCACTTGTTTTCTAGTTTAATTATTTCTTTTAATTTGTTTGCAACCCAAATACTTTTGTTCTTCTCAGTTCCTTAATTCTAACCGTTAAATCTAGAGTTGTACCCATCCCCGTGGGACGGTAGTTTACTAATCTTTATTACTTGATCTGTAAAGTGCATATACACTTTTGTCACATCACTCGCCGCCCCTTGTCCTCCTGAAAACCTCCCTCACCTCCGCCCCTGGGTCCACCCACCGTTCCAAATCTGGTGGAAAGAAGGCAATGAACACTGGATATGACAAAATCAAAATCACGAGAAGAAGAGATTTGGGGTACCGAAATTGAGGCTCATCTTTAAAGCCCACGACTGGGTACGAGCGCCAGAAATTTGGGGACCAAATCTGAGAAGCGGCTCGCAAACGACAAAAAACGAAGAAGAACTAGAGCAGACGAACAATCCCAGAGCTTGTTCTCGTTATTGCAACGAGATGCACGATTATTGTGGAGCGGCCTAAGGGCTACCTATTCAACCGGACTCAACCTCCGCCGGGGCATTCGCGCAAGTAGGAGGATTGGGAGCTCCCTTACTACCTCACCAGCTTTCTAACCATCGTCATGCTCGGCGTCGGGCTCAACGCCAAGCCTGATCTCACCATCGAGACCTAGGCGCACCAGAAGGAGATATTTGCTTCCGCTCACTGAAGGAGCTATCTTCCCCTGGAACAGAGTTGGATAGATGCCATAGTGAGAAGTAGTCCCGAACGTTGTCCTCATCCCCTTCCTCTACTTGAATGAAATATATTGCATTCTCTTTTCCCACTTATTTTTAGGGATGACAACCCTGCCGGACCCGCTGGGTACTGTCACGGCCTTAGCTCTCAATTCCGTTAGAGAACTAAGCAGCCTTCACTGAAACTCACAAGCAAGCAAAGAAAGCAAGAAAGACAAAGAAGATGATGTCACCCATTATGTGACTCATAAGTGCACCATTAAGCTCTCATTTAGGTGGAGAATCCTAGAGGCATCTTTATGCTTCTAGTCTTCCATACACGCCACATGTGCAGCCGCCATGTTGTCACCTTGTTGGCGCCATGTCATCTGCCACATGTGAAATCCTCCCCCACCTATGCTCGCGACGCCCTCGTCGAGTCCTCTTGTCGAAAAGCCTCAACCAAGTCCTTGTTCTTCCAATGCGAGAGCTCATTCTCCCAACTCGCCTCGCTCTCTGGAAGGTTGCGACACTTGACCAAGTACTCCGCATAGCTTGGATGAACACCATGATGAGGAATGACACGACGCGCCATGATCTCTTCGATTTCATGGTCGTGTGTCTTTGGTGACGAGTGTTGATGCACGATGTGATTTCTTCCGTCTTCATCCTCCTTGTCTTCAATGAAAGCTTTGACTTTTGAGTTGACTCACATGAAAAACCGGATGGATCTCCAAATGCGACGACATTTCCACCTTGTACGCCACCTTGTCAATCCTCTTCACGATGAGAAATGACCCTTCATAATGGTGAAGCAGTCCCTTGTGCACGTTCTTGAGATGCTTGAAGCGGTGAGGGTAGAAATTCACCATCACCATGTTTCCCTCTTCAAATTCTAAGTGTCGTCTCTTCTTGTCCGCCCACTTCTTACTAGCACGGGCAAAGTAAGACTTGGTCATCTCCATCTTCTTGTGCTAGTCTTTTGTGAACTTGTAGACTGCCGGATTTTTGCCTCTATACCCTGTTGCCACCGTCGTAGGTGTCAACGGCTGCTGCCCCGTCGCCAACTCGAATAGGCTCGTGTTGGTCGACTTGCTGCGGTGCAAGTTGTAGGAGAACTGTGCCGTGTCCATCAACTTCGCCCAATCGCGCTGGTTTGCACTCACATAGTACCGCAAGTACACTTCCTGCAAGGCATTCACCCGTTTCGTCTGTCTGTCGCTTTGCGAATGAAATGTCGTCGAAAAGTTCAAGCCAGAGCCCATGATCTTGAACAACTCCCGCCAAAATCAGCCAGTGAACCAAATGTCCGATTCATCGCAACATGATATGGATACACTTAAACAAACACAGCTATACCAGGAGGCTCTACAGCTTCATTTCAAGTCCGCACCTATTAACCAAGTAGAGCAACAGTCTTTCTGCTCATCTTGATTGGTCTTCCAATCAACTGCCTATGCTTCTACAGTTATCGAAAAGTTTTTCCATGGCTCTTTCACAGAACCTCACTACTCAATAATGACACATAATAACAACGTAGCAACAAGTCTTTCTTTACACCTTCTTGATAATCTGCACCACGTCTTCATCCTCCAGCTCGTGTTCCTGTGGTTTCGCAAGAATCATGGTCAAACCTTTTTGAGCATGCAAGAAAGAAAGAAAAAAGACTAGTTTGATAGAACGAGAAAAAGGCACTGTGAAAATGTGTACCTTTCCAACTCTTTGCGGCTTGTGTTTGGCGCTGGATCCCCATACTAATGCACTGCCATCATTGGTAAACTATGTTAAGTGATGAAAACATAGGGGTGACCCCAACTTAAAACAAGTTCCATTTGCCTAAACAGAAGACCCATGATTACAGCCGCTTGTTCACACAGTGGAATTGTGTTAAGGGTACTAAAAAGGCACTTCACAATGAAGGATGAGAGCTACACGGAACACATCCGCATCCGACGGAAGCGCACTTCGGAGAAGTGCATTATTTTGAGGGTCAACTGGTCAAGTATGTCTAAAAGCAAAAACTTAAATGACAAGATACTCACTACTTGAACTGTTTAGGACATATTCTTGAGAATCTGGTTGCAAAAGTCCTCCCGGTCCGCTTCTTTGATGAGAGGATCACAAGGTTTTCATAATCTGGGTTCATTCCATTGGGCTTTGTGTATATGCGAGTGAGATCTAGATACTCCCATATCTTATCCAGCAACCCATCAAGGTTCCATTCCAGGTGAGCACTGTCCAGCACAACAAGCAAGAGAGAAAACACCACCAGATTACTTATTTGGGAAATACAACTGTGAAATGGCAGACCCTCAGAGGATGAAAGCACACAAATTCCAATACACAACTTCAGACATATATCCATAATATTTGCACTCAAGTTCCAATCCAAAATATAAGGAAAGACTAAGACTAGATCAATTGAACTGTGACCAAAGCCATACCTTCTTCCTAACACAAACTTCTTTTTGAAAGCTGATAATTATCCCATTCAGATGACTGAAGTCCAAAATGGGTAACCAAAAGCATTGCTTCTTCTTGACAAGAGCAGAATCCTAGAGTTCCATTCAATGGCTTTGGCGCAAAAAGGTAGTTGTTACTAAACAAGCGAGCTAAGTTAATTCCTATCTCCAAACAATAACCACAAATAGCTTTCAAACATGGATCATCATCTACTCCCATGCTTAGTGTAGACCGAAACATACAAGGAGCTCATTTATGCAGCAAACAGAGAGAACCAGCAATATGCAAAGCCCTTAAATAAAGTTATTCCTGACATACAAGTAGGGAAACACATATGTAAGCAGTGGCAAGGATCATGCCTCGGAGATTTAGTTCCAGCCATCTTTCTATCATCAGAATCTTCTCGAAACCGAGGGATTTCGATCAGCTACAGGATCATGCACCTGGCATTTGGATGGGAATTTCAGCAAGTGCCTTGAGTTGCAGCAGCTGATAGATCAGTAGACCCTATTTTATGAGTTTTCATATCAGGACCATTCAACAGCTTCTGGAAAATTGGGTGATCCAACTGATTCTTGGGCAACAATTCTATTAGCAAAGACATCGTGGTTGCATCGGCTGAGAAACCTTTAGAAACCATCTCATGAATGAGGCCTATTGCTTCAAGGGGATCCTTATGGCGAAGAAATCCATGAATAATCACATTGTAAGAGCAACTATCTGGTAGACAACTATCCCCCTCCATTTTCCTGAACAAATCATATGCTTCATCCACAAAACCTTGTCTGCAAAGTCCATCAACTGTAATGGTATATGCGCGGGTATCAGGTTGCAAAAACTTGTCTCTAGAGAGCCTAGAAAACATTTCCCTTGCTTCCTTTTCCCTCCCTGCTTTCCACAACCCATCCATAAGGATATTGTACCCGGCAACATTAGACTTCAAACTACTATTGTCTATTACTTGAAATAGAGCTAATGCACCGTCAAGTTTACCTTGTCTACACAAGTAATCAAGCAAGCTATTGTATGTCACATTATCCGGGGAACAACCCTGACCACTCATTTTCTTGAGAATTTGTTGTGCATCTTTAAGCCTCCCTGCCTGACAAAATCCATTTAGCATAGTAGTATACGTGACTGTATCCGGAGCCAAATCCTTCTCAAGCATATCATTAAGTAATTCTTCAGCTTCATCCATCCTTCCATTGTTACAATATCCATGAATCATTATATTATAACAGTAAACGTTAGGTTCACATCTCTTACTAACTATGAAATCAAATAACTTTCTAGCTTTGTCTAATTCATTGCGCAAACAGTATCCATTCATCAATGAAGTGTAAGTGATGACATCTGGAAGAAATCCTCTGTGAATCATCACTTTGAGTATAACTTTAGCTCCCAAAACATTTCCTTCCTTACAAAAAGCATCAACCAATGTGGAATAGCTAACTGTATCGGGCATGATCTTCCTCTCTACCATTTCATTGAGTAACTTCATAGCTTCATTGATTGTGCTTGAAATGCATAAACCAGCAATCAAGCTATTGTAAGCAACCACATCTGGTTGAATCTTTTCATCCTTCATCTCTGAAAAAACATCAAAAGCCTTCGATACCATCCCATCCTTACATAGGCTGCTAATGACTATGCTATAACTAACCACATCAGGTTGACAACCTAACTCCTTCATGTTTTTTAGCAATTCAAGTCCTGCACTCGTTTGCCCTAGCGTGCATAATCCATCTATAATTGTGGTATAAGAAAAAGCATCCGGATGATAACCCAAAATCCTAATCTTATGAACCAAACTTGCAGCCTCGATTACTCTCCCATCTTTACAGAGCCCATCAATCAATGTACTGAGCATTACATCGTCGAATTGAATACCGAGTTTCAAAGCATTACCCAAAACTGAGTAGCCAAAATCCACTCGACCCAATTTGCAGAAGCAACGAAGCAACATGCTCAGCGTGTGAAGATCATGGTGGAACCCAGCTACTTCCATTTGTTTAGACGCATACAAGGCAGCGTCGAAGGCGTTCATTCTCATAAGAGAATTTACCAACTGAGAAAATTTCACGATTGAGGGTCTGGGGTTCATGAGGAGCATTCTATTAAATGAATCCAAGGCATCATCTACGCTGGCGAAAGTTGCAGAATTTGAGGTCCGAGGAGCAGTTGGATTGGACGCGATGTAAGTCGATAGAGTAGCTGCAGCAGAAGCTGAAGAATAAGGATAAGGGAATTCAGTAATACCTGCTTGTCTTCCCCAATGAAACCAAGAACAGTTTCGATGTATGATCCTAGCCATGCCGAGCTGCTGAACTGTGTTGATTTCAAAGCATTTGCAATGGGAGACTCTGACAGAAATCAATAGATACTACCAGCTCTTCGCCCGCCCTTCCTCGGAATGCATCATTCTATTCCAATACCATAACAAGCTCTATCATCCAAACAAATTTCCACCGCGAACCCAGAATGAAAGATGCGAACTTTAAATAGAATCCGGTATCCAACCCCTAAAAAACCAGATAACTGTGTCGCCGGCGGCTGCGCGGAGAGGTTGAGACTTGACACTTAGTGAAGCACTCAGCCGACGGTTCAGTGGTTTGGGGGAACAAGCAGGATCGGCAGAGTGGCTGGACTGGAACTGATTTCCCAAGCCCGATCTCTGCTTTGGGCCCGAGTTATTTTGTGTCACCAGATAGCCTCGGCCTTTTGGTATTGGACTTGGTACTTTGCTAGTTCTTTCTTCACTGCCGATGGATAGTTACTCATTTACCTATACATATGACATACCAAATACACAAATTCATTTCACAATAAATTCTACATGACAATTCATTTTATTTCTAAAGATTTGAATATGACATACCAAACACAAGATTTCATTTGACAACGAATTCTACACAGTAATTCATTTTACAATGAAATGAATTCTCGATTCATTTGGTACCAAACAATTTGTTATAATAATTGGTGAAAGTCCTTATCTTCTCTACGTACATAGATTCTTGATCTGAACAATTGGATTCATTTCTTGATACATGATTGACAAAAACCTGTTTGGACATGTAGTATGCAGAACAGCAGAAGTTGAAATAAGATTGACATGCATATTTTTATGAACCAAAATTCCAAACCAAAGTGGAAGGGGAGACCAGATCAGTTCATCATTGAAGTTTACGACATTTGTCTTGGGCATATATCAAAACAACTTTCCATAAGGTCATTCATTATTAAAGTGCTCCTCAATGAATACATTTAGGGGTCGTTTGAATGTGAAAATCTGAAAGCGTGAGAATTTATCTTAATTTCCACATTATAGAAATCATACTAATTGTCTAAGTGAAAATTGTCCAAAATTTCATGTTTGGGATAGACCAAAGAATTTGGAAATTGGTGGTGTGGTATTTGGTTAAAATACCAATTTACCCATTTCTACGTGAGTTTGCAATTAAAATGACCTTTAAATAGTTGCCTATAACTAACACACATATAGCAAATAAGGAAATCTCCAATCTCCAATTCTCGTATTCAATCCTCAAATTGTAAAAACCAATCATTATTGAATTAATAAAATACATAATAGATCAGCACAACACATGGCCGCCATCGTTCTTTTCTTGGACCTCATTTCGATTTGATTGCAGTATTGGGAGATGAATAATAGAAAGAGCAACAAAAGATGGAGAAAGGAAATAAAGGTTTTTTTTTATGGCGGCAGTATTATAATTATAGCACGAAGAAGAGGGAGAGATAAGTGGACGTAGGTTCTCGTGGTCGTGGTCGTGGGTTAGATTGGGAAGGAAAAGCCCAATAACGTGGGAATTGACAATTACATTGGTGGGTAGAGGTGGCAAAGAGATCTATCCATGGATTGGTGGATTCATGGATCAAATGGATTGGATCCAATGGATCATTGAATTCACAGATTGGATCAAGTGGATTGGTGGATTATCCATGAATCCTAATGACATTCTCAACCTTGGGCCAATATGTAAAATGTGAAAAGTTTAGGTACTAAAATATCATAATAAAATATTTTAGGTATCAAAACGTAATTTTCCAACGAGATTTTTCGTATAAAAAATTAAATTTTGGGTACCAAAATGTAAAATATAAAAAGTATAGGTACCAAACCTTAATTTGCCATTTGGATACATGGATTGATCCATGAATCCACCAATCTAATTGGATTTGGATTAAATGGATTGGATTAGGTGGATATTTTTAATGGATTGGTGGATTGGATTGAGAATTGCCACCTCTATGGGTGGGGGGTTGTATTTCCAAAACCAGCGATCATAGTATTTGTTCCCAATTCCCGTGGGTCAATTCCCGCATGCTCCATGTCCAGCCAAACATGGAATTTGGTTCCAATTACTACAATATGTGGAATTTGGGTCCAATTACTGCATTAAATTTCCGCATCCAAACGACCCCTTAACTTCAGAGTTCTCACAAAAACTCTTCTATTTCATTCCAAAATGCTTCTTGTAAGTTAAAATCAATTTCTTACTTATGAACCAAAATCTCTCTCATACTTTGTCGATGTGGAATTCACTATAAAATCATTGTGAAAAAAAAAACTAAAGAAAAGAAAGAAGAAAAAAATCCTCCGCCTTAATTTCAATGATGTGCATTCCCATACAATTTTACATTCTTTTGGCTCAAACATGACTTCTCAAGAACAAGTTATCTTGCCAGAATCAAATGTGTTTTTCCCAAAACCGTATGTCGAACCATTCGCATGATGCGCTCTCCATTTTCAGGCCTAGTAAATATGAAGCAAATTCGATGGACTGAAAAAACAACGAGAATATAGGGCTCCCTGACGCCACAGTAAATCCTAGTTCAGACATCTTTTGGAACACAGCAGAAGATCATTTAAAAGTTCATATCGACCACCCCTGTTTATCACAAAATTTTACAATTCTGGTCTTTTAAGTTTTATCCACCATGTAACAAATGTTTGATTCATCACAACATGATCTGGACACACTTAAAGACACACACAGCTAAACCAAGAGGCTCTACAGTTTCAACTCTAATACGCACCTATTAACCAAGTAGGGAAACACTCTTCCTGTTCACTTGATTGGTCTTCCAATCAACTGCATACGTTATCAAAGGGTTTTTCCATGGCTCTTTCACTTATCACAGTAACCTCGCTACTCAATAATTGGCATGGCATATAATAGCAAGGTAGCAACGGGTGTTTCTTCACACCTTCTTGATGATCTGCACCACGTCATCATCCTCCAGCTCATGTTCCTGCGGTTTTGCAGGAATCAATATCAAGCCTCCTTGAGCATGCAAGTAAAAGAAAGAAAGAAAAAACTTGTTCGATGGAACGTGAAAGGGCTTTGTGAAAATATTTACATTTCCAACTCTTTGGGGCTTGTGTTTGGCGCTGGATCCCCATACCAATGCATTGTGATCAAGGTAAACTACGTTAAGTGATGAAAAAATAAGGGGAGACCCCAAACTTTTAAACAAGTACCATTTGCCGAAACAGAAGACCCATGATTACAACCGCTTGTTCACCCAGTGTAATTGTGTTAAGGGTACTAAAAGGTACTTCACAATGAAGAATGAGAACTATAGGGAATGCATCCGCTTCCGACGGAAGCACGGTTTGGAGAAGTGTATTATTTGAGGGTCAAGTATGTCTAAAAGCAAAAATTGAATTGTCAAGATACTCACTACTTGAACTGTTTAGACATATCCTTGTGAATCTGGTTGCAAAAGTCCTCCACGGTCCGCTTCTTTGATGAGAGGATGACAGGGTCTTCATAATCTGGGTTCATCCCTTTAGGCTTTGTGTGTATGCGAGTGAGATCTAGATACTCCCATATCTTGTCCAGCAACCCATCAAGGTGAGCACTGTCCAACACAACAAGCAAGAAAGAAAACCCTACCAGATTACTTATTTGCAAAATACAAATGTGAGATGGAATACCCTTATTGATATGATCCCAAACCACTTGAATTCCAAACCTCACACGATCAATCAAGAAGCTGGATCAATCACAGATAAAGAGAATGGATTTTGGCTGTGTCATTATAGTGTTTCAAGGTACCATCTTTGGCAGCTTGCTACTCCCAAATGGCTCCATAGAAATTCAAGTTCAAGGCGTCATTTTAAACATCAAGTTATTATCTCTACGTTGATGTATTGTGGAGCTCAAGGGAAGGTCTGGAACGTTGTTTTCAAAGCTCATCAAAAGGCCATCCCAAAACAGGAAAACTGCCTGAATTTGGCTAAGGCAGAAAGCTGTTCCGAGATGCCAACTTTGAAGGCCTATATCTGGAGTTTGGAGTATGAGTTTGGACTGATTCCAATTGGAGGTGAAATAGGAAGTGTTCTTTTACAACGACAAGGCATTGGGTAAGATCGATTCATCCAGGAAGACCATTTTCGAGGGCTTCAAAGAAGCTACCTCACCCTGCCAGCACTACAAAAAAAGTTGGCTATAACGAGGGGGAAAATTGGCGAGGGTATCAAATCTTGTCGTTAAAACCATAAAAGTGTGATGGGCCATCTTATGGTGAGGGGTACATAATTCTCCTCGTGAAAAGTGTTATTATCCCCTCGTTATTGCTTTAACGCATATAACGACAAGCCCATCCCATCGTTAATAGCATTGAAAATTTCAATTCAAAGTCCGCCAAAATAAATTTTCATTTCCCGGGCCTTTTTTGTACATCCACAAAGGAATGGATTTGAACTTTAAACTTGGTAAAGTTAAAAGCATTTTCAGCCGAAAGAGATCCACTCATCTTCCTCGACTCAAGCGGTGGAAGCGTTCTTTCTCACGCTTCCTTACCGACTCACCCTGGTCCTCCGGCCTCCGTCTCCCTCACCGCCGCTCCCCTCCTCTTTCCACCCCTTTTCGTCTCTGTCTCTTTTTGCTTTTACCATTCTGGCCCCGCAACTGTCTCCTGGCTAAAAAAGCAAAATTGGAACCCATCCCAATCCCTAATTCTTTCAGCCCTCATTCGTTGTCGCTCTCGCGCAGAGAGAGCCCTGTCCGAGAAATCTCTTCAGGCATCGTCTTCTACCGACACCATCTTCGTTCTTCTCCACTATCACCTCTTCTCGATCACACCTTTTGCTCCTCCATTCCATCCCTAACTCCTCTACTATCAAAACCCCTCTTCATGTTAGAATCAATCAAAGTGGGCTAGGGTTTCAAGCGTCTATCCAAATCTCTTGCTCCATTATCTGATTGTTTATTGTGGCATGTTCGTTTTTTTTTTCTGATTCATTTTGATTGATTCTTCTTCGTTTACTCTAGTATTTCGATCTTCACATTGTGTTCCCTTGGAGGGGCACTGTGATTTTTTGTTTTTGTTTTGCAGGGGACAAAATTCAGGGAGCAGCTACCATGGACTTCCCCTGTAACGTCTTAAGATTGAGTTCATGTAATTGGTGGAGCACTTCTGATGGCAGGCCGTATCCTTTTGGTTGGCATTTCTGTTGGAGTGTTTTCTTTCTGCTGAAGTACTATGTTGTCCATGGTTCTAGACCTATACAATGGGAAAGGGTTTTAATTGCGCAATTGGCAGTTGGCTCTGCTATTTGCTGGTGGTCTATTTGTGGTGTTTGTTCAAGTTGGATTCTATTGGGTGTTTGCTTCTAGCAAGAAAATAAGATGGTGGTTGGTTGTGTTGATTGATTTGGCATATTAATGGTGTGTTGTTGCTGTGAACTATGAATGTATGGTTTCTTCTTGTTGGGCTCCTTCTGTAAGTTGGGAGTTCTTAGTAAATGAAGCTGGTTTCTTTTTTCTTAATTGATTTGGATATTTGTAGAAAATGGAAGTAGCATGGTATTTTTGGTTGAGTCCACTGTTATTGACTGTTTGAAAGAGAGTAATTGTTGTGTCTTTTTTGCAGGTTAATCAAGTGTTCTGTTTGCAAGTAGTCTAATTAGGAGAGTGGAGTTCCAAATCCGTTGACAGTTATTGAAGCTTTGAGAAGGTAAACTCTAATGCAAATTGATTTATACATCTACTCTTTTTCTTCTGTTTTCGTTAGCTGTATCTTTCCATAATTTTACTCTTATCATTAATACATGATTGTGTTTCCATTGCTTCAGCAAAAGACTTAGAACGACATACGCAAGCTTCAGGGGATCAAACAAGAATGCTTCAAGAAGCTTAAGAAAGGAATACTTTGGGGCATTCACTTAGGAAGTTAATATAGTTTATACCGTTTGTATTAAGAGTTGAATTAATTACTTGTATTTTATTTTGCTAAAGCACAATGACGTGCTTTAATACTAATTAAATGATTAAGAACTAATTTGTTTGTAGTATTTTCACTATGTTCCATAGTGGTTGCTTTTAGTAAAATATGCGGACAAATGGTTTTTTTATGATTGAACTTGTCATCAGAATTAAAAAGTCATCTTCATTAAGGAATCATCAACGATGAGAAATTCTGTTCTTGCAACGTTAATAACGACAGGAATTTAGCTATCGGTATTGCCTAAAATTCTACTAGCAAAACTTGATTTTTAACGATGGGAAGAACTACCGTCGTTGATACTTTCAACGACCGGATAGAATTTTCCGGTCGTTAATGACTTTTACCGGCAAAGCCTATAATGAGGGGTCGTATCCCGTCGTTAATAACCTTTAACGAGAGTTTTTGGACAATTAACGACCGTTTTCTACCCTCGTTATAGCCTCTTTTTTTTGTAGTGCAGTAATCCGAGTTCTACAAGGATTCCTTTGTTCATTCAGACTAAGTTTGTAATTCAGTTTCCTTGCTTAGTTAGGTTAATTTCAGCCCTTGTTCTAGTTAGATTGTAATTGTTTAAGCCTATAAAAGGCCTCATACTCGTATTGTATTATTTAGATTACGATTGAATGAATTTTACCCAATTCCCAGACTTGAGAGTTTGTGAGTTTGATTGGTTTTTGGTTGCGATCAAAAGCTTGCTGAGCCTTGCTTATTGAACGAGCAAACACACTCGTTCACATCGAAAGCTTCACATTCGACTGTGCATCCTTCCAGGTGTAAGGATTCCCTATCGATCCGCCCAATTTCGAGTTCAATTCCGCTTTGTTCAAGTTGGTTTTTGAGTTCGGGTCTAATTGAGTTCAAGTGCCTTGCTTGAGCTGGTGTCTGCGCGACTTTGATTTCCTTGAATCCCGATTTTGGGCTCATCAAGTGGCATCAGAGCCAAGGTTCTACACAGTGGCCAGTGAAACAAAGTCCGACGAAATTGTGCATTGGACACGGTCGAAAGGCCCTGTTCCAGAACCCCCTGTTTTACTGTCCGAAAAGCTGCAATGGGGGAGCCGAGGCCTATCACGATGCCTGAACTGCAGCAGTTCTTCCAAGAGCAAGTCGTTGCTCTGTTCCAGACTCAGCTGACGAAGCAAGACGAAAAGTTTCAAACATTGTCCGCCAAGTTCGATCACCTAAGTCAGAGGGTGGAAGCATTGACCCAGCCAGGAGGAACAGCTATGGAGACGGCCGCTGAGATCGACGATCGTCGAATTCAACGCGCAGCAGTGGCGACGCCGCAACGAGTTAATGCTCAGCTGGTTGGGAACCTAGAACCTGCTACAGAGCTAGCAGGGCGAATTCACGAAATCGAGAGGCAATTGTTGGCTCTCGACTTACATCCCAACGAACCACGAACGCGCGAACGACGACAGCTGAATTTTGACCACAATAATGATGAAACGACAGAAACTCTAGTGTCCGAGTTGCGAGGAATTAAGCTTTTAGTGCCAGCGTTCCATGGAACGAACAATGCTACTTCGTACCTGGATTGGGAGAGGAAGATCCTTTTATTCTTCCAATGTGGTCAGTACACCGAAAATCAGAAACTCCTCATAGTGACATATGAGTTCCAAGATTATGCTGCAACGTGGTGGGAACAACTTCAAGTTCGGCGGCGGCGTAATTTGCAAACTCCGGTGACGACATGGGAGGAGCTAAGAGGATTGATGAGGGATAAATTCGTGCCGGCCTATTACTGGCGCGAATTATATGAAGCTCTGCAGACCCTTCGTCAGGGTACTCGGACTGTTGACGAGTATTCCAAGGAGCTCGAGCTGCTACTCACCAGGACGGACGTCCGAGAGGACGCAGAGGCCACCATCTCACGTTTCCTGTGTGGTTTAAACAAGGAGATCAGGTATGAACTGGAATTGCGCCAGTTTACTGATCTGGAAGAGGCGATTCACTTGGCCCTCAAAATCGAGAAGCAGCTCAAACAGGGTACAGGCCGACGTGTTTCTGGGCCGCGATCAAACAGCAGCTCTGAAATTGATCCAATTGCTGTCCACACTCCTAATCGGCCAGTGACCGTAAAGCCATACACGCCACAGAATCATCAGGAGCGTCCTGGGGGCGGAACAAGCAAGTTGCAGTGCTTCAAGTGCCATGGTCATGGTCACAAATCCTTTCAATGTCCAAACACGAAGACACTGGTTCTTCGCGACGGAGAATACTACTCCGAGTCTGAAGTTGAAGATAACAAGATCAATGATGACTCCACCGATGAGGAAGTAGATGAAGAGATCATTGCGGATCCCGCTCCAGGCAAATTTACAATGGTGAACAGGCGTGCTTTGACGATTGAAGCTGAAAGCGAAACCCAGCAGCGAAGTAATCTGTTTCACACACGCTGTCGAAGTCGGGAAAATCTGCTCTCACTGGTAATCGACGGCGGTAGCTGCACCAACGTTGTAAGCTTGGAAACGGTAAGAAAACTTGGGCTTAACACAATCAAGCATCGGAAGCCTTATAGCCTTCACTGGCTGAATGATCATGGAGCAGTACGAGTGACAAAACAAGCGTCGGTTGTTGTTGAGCTGGGACATTACAAGGATCAAATTTTGTGCGATGTTGCGCCGATGCAAGTGGCTCATGTGCTTCTTGGACGACCTTGGCAATTTGATCGGGGAGTAACTCACCATGGATGCACCAATTGCTACACTTTTGAACATGGAGGGAAGAGACTCAAGCTCACGCCGTTGTCACCGGCGGAAGTCCGAGATGACCAACGACAGCTGGCATCTAATCGAGCTAAGGAAGAAGGTGGGTCGCGAAAAGAGAACAGTCTTCTCGTTCGCCATTATGCACTAACCGCTTTGCTACGCCCTATGGGGTTTCGAAGCCGATCAGATTCCTCACTCTGTTGCTCGCCGACGGCAATACAGGGGAAGAGAGAGAGTGAATTGGGGAGAAGAGATGGCGCCAACCCAGGACGAGCTGAAGACGTCGACACATTCGCCGAGCTGCCAGGAACGTGTAGCAAAGCTCAATTAGAGTCGAATCACGTCCTCGAGAAAAGCCCCAACTTGCAATTTTCGGGCCAAACGACGAAACACACCGAGGTTGAAGAGTGTGAATTGGTCATGGCGTTTGGGCGTGATTCGATACTATCAGCGACTGTGGACAAGCTCAAAATTGTCCAAGGAAGCTTGAAGATCGATCAATTGGACGAGGAGAAGCCGGGAGCGAAAATACCCAATTTTGATTTGGGGTCGCCGGAATCTGGGTTTGTGTCGCCGGATTATGGGGAGGTTTGTGTCGCCGGATTATGGGGAATTTGAAATCTCCGATGGCGGGAGAAATGGGCATTGTGATTGGGGACGATTCGGCCATGAACGAAGCTGGAGGATGGTTGGGATCAACACCTCGAAGCTAGGGAAATCGTTCTCAAGCAACAATTTGGGACGAGAAGGTGCTACAGGGAAATTCCCAATTTTGGGATCCTCGCCGGAGGTTTCGCCGTCGCCGGAAACTGGAAATTTTTGGGTGAAACCTTTGGGTGAGCAGCCCTTTTCGGATCCAGTTTGGGATCAATTTTGTGGGTCTTTTGAAGAGAAACAGGCCCAAGCTTTGAGGGCAAAGCTTTTTCAACAGGGGGGGCTTGATATGATCCCTAACCACTTGAATTCCAAACCTCACACGATCAATCAAGAAGCTGGATCAATCACGGATAAAGAGAGGTGATTTTGGCTAAGTCATTATAGTGTTTCAAGGTACCATCTTTGGTAGCTTGCTACTCCCAAATGGCTCCATAGAAATTCAAGTTCAAGGCGTCATTTTAAACATCAAGTTATTATCTCTACGTTGATGTATTGTGGAGCTCAAGGGAAGGTCTGGAACGTTGTTTTCAAAGCTCATCAAAAGGCCATCCCAAAACAGGAAAACTGCCTGAATTTGGCTAAGGCAGAAAGCTGTTCCGAGATGCCAACTTTGAAGGCCTATATCTGGAGTTTGGAGTATGAGTTTGGACTGATTCCAATTGGAGGTGAAATAGGAAGTGTTCTTTTACAACGACAAGGCATTGGGTAAGATCGATTCATCCAGGAAGACCATTTTCAAGGGCTTCAAAGAAGCTACCTCACCCTGCCAGTAATCCGAGTTCTACAAGGATTCCTTTGTTCATTCGGACTAAGTTTGTAATTCAGTTTTCTTGCTTAGTTAGGTTAATTTCAGCCCTTGTTCTAGTTAGATTGTAATTGTTTAAGCCTATAAAAGGCCTCATACTCGTATTGTATTATTTAGATTACGATTGAATGAATTTTACCCAATTCCCAGACTTGAGAGTTTGTGAGTTTGATTGGTTTTTGGTTGCGATCAAAAGCTTGCTGAGCCTTGCTTATTGAACGAGCAAACACACTCGTTCACATGGAAAGCTTCACATTCGACTGTGCATCCTTCCAGGTGTAAGGATTCCCTGTCGATCCGCCCAATTTCGAGTTCAATTCCGCTTTGTTCAAGTTGGTTTTTGAGTTCGGGTCTAATTGAGTTCAAGTGCCTTGCTTGAGCTGGTGTCTGCGCGACTTTGATTTCCTTGAGTCCCGATTTTGGGCTCATCACTTATTCTGGTAATGTAAAATACTCTGGGGGTAGTTTGGACTTCGGATGGCAAAAGATTGATGGATACGAAAAAGGATGGAACATAACGCTTTTGATGGTTTTAAAACTTTGTTGTTTGAATGTTGGATTTAAGAAGTGGATTGTTATAAATGGAGTGCGACTTCTACCCTCACCGATATTTTTGAAGGTAAATGGTTGAGGAAAAAAGAGACATTGGGAGTGACAAATTTCGAAAACCCAATGAGCCACCCACAGATTTGGTACCCTCATGGTTTTCAAAGTGGGGTTGGCACCTTTTCTGAGGCCACTAAGCAAGGATTTTGAGCAAAATAGTGAATTTGGTGTGCAAATCGGTAAAACCAAATCGAAAATCCAAGAGTTATATTTACCTCTAATAGCACTAAACAAAGCTTAGTAATTACCCAATTATTAACCCTAGCACACTACAATTCCATGCATCAG